GAGGGTCACACACATATGATAGGGATTGCGATGAGTAGAGGTTCGGATATGAGATATCCGACGGAGCCCTTGTCTTATTGGATGCAGATCCAATACCCACTAGGGGAGGACCCATTAGGGTTTGACAGGGGACCTCTATAAATAGGAGGGATTCAGAGCCTCATAGGCTAGAGCCTTTGCTTGCCTTTCCTATTCTCATCTTCCTCTCCACCTCAGAGCAGGCCTGGAGTCTTGAGGAGCGTCGTCGCAACCCTGCTGTGTGGATCACCGCTAGAGAGGAGGACGCTTGACCTCCTTTACCCTCTCCTAAGGATCTGCAAGGAAACAGGGATATACGATCTCCCTAGGTAATACAATCTACTATATACGTAGTTTCATGTTTCGCGGATTTTTGCGTACCAATCTTCGCACGACGACGAACATCTTTTTGGGAATCGGGGATTTTGTTTTCTTGTTCTTCCGCTGCGCATGTGATGTCGCCCCCATGATTTCCCAACAGGTACCACCGCCTAGTCTGGTGGTACTATCTCTTGGGAGACTGTGTCTGGGCGGTACCACCACCCAAACTAGAGGTACCACCGCCTGACATAGTCTTAGAGATTGTGCCACCGATGATTCCACCTATTTGGTCACTGTTTGGGCCTTTCAATTGACTCAACACAGCTCAAACTCGGGCCTAATTGGCCCCTAATTAAGTGGCCTAATTATATTCTAAACCGACTCAATTAGACTCGAAGTTAACTCGATCTAGACATAATTGATTACAAGCGAATCTTATATTGTCCGGCATGTCATTGGTTCTTCCGAAGCTTCGTCCGATCTTTCGGCACATTATTCTCTCCTTCGGTGTATTATCCGTATTGTCTTCTCACAACATTCAATCTCTTTAGCGTAATGTCCGATCTTCTTGGCTCGATGCCCGAATTAATAGACCGAAGTCTTCTACCGACACGTCAACCGATCCTCCGGCCCGACGTTCACTCTTCTGACATATTTGCTCCGGCTCAACGTATTCCTCCTACTTTAATTGATTTGTCTTTTTTGATCGAAGTCAGTCCTGCATCACTTAAACGCACGACAAACATATCAATTGATTTCATCATCAAAATCTGAGATTTAATAATATATACTTAATTCATATTAAAAAATATTTACATGTGTGCTTTATAGTGAGATATTTAATTTTTACGTGAAATATATTTTTTGAACTTAAAATAAAAACTATATTTTTTTTATTTTAAAAATATTTTTATTAGAAAAATCGCCAATCGATTCAGAATCAGAATCTTCGAAGTCTAGTGACATTATTATTATTATTATTATTATTATTATTATTATTATTATTATTATTATTATTATTATTATTATTTTCTTAATGGATTTTTAAGTAAACCATTTCTTTTATTTATGTTAATGTTGATAATTCTCATGTAGATGTCAATTTGATACTGATGCATCCTCATTGTGCCATTTGCCCTTGTCCTTCTTTGTTCCCCTCTGTCCCCCAACTAATAGGAAAAACCTTGTCTTTCTCTACCCATACAAATGATTATATCTTCCAAATCAAAGAAAGTGTAACCATCACAATCAAACAACAATAGTACCTTATCTTAATCATAAAAATCAGTGAGAACTATATTGTTTATCATATGAAATAAAAATATATTATGATTGGGGGCTAAAGTAACATTAGGAGATTTTTCCTTTTTTTTCCTCACAAAGAGTATAAATTCAAACCGGGATCTTACAATCAATAATTGAGTCATATTTGCTAAACTAGCTGACATATTAAAAAATAATAATATTTACTCTTGATAAAATTTTAATATATTTTTAATCATAAAAAATTATAATTAAGAAGTATTTTTTTTTTCACAAATGATAATAAGATACAAAATCATGATTTTACTATCAATAGTTAAGGGTTATTTTAGGTAGCTGATATATAAAAAATAAACCATAGCAATTGATCTTGACATAGTGTCTTTATTTTATTATTATTATTTTCACATAAGATAATAAGCTATGAATGCAGAATAGGTTCTAACTCTCAACATAAGTTAAGGTGAGCGAAGTACACGGCCATCGTTCTAACATTGTAGATGTAAATTTTATCGAATGAGATATTACTAAAAGTAATATTTTTAATGTATTACTAGTGGAAATCATTTAAGTTAAGATACAAAATCTTACATTTTGACATTATTAGTTGACACTTGCACTATAGCGATATCTAGTGGATTTTTTCGGTTATTTATGATACAATGATATCAAAATAATTACTTTTCATACAAATATATGTTTATGTGCCTAATGAATGATTAGTGAGCGTGTTTTTATTTTTAATTTTTTTCGAACAGTGTATGTTTTTATTAAAGTATTATTTTTATTATAAAAATCTGAACAAATATGAACACACACACACACACACACATATATATATATATATATATATATATATATACATATATATATCCTAAAAATGTTCCTAATCTATTCTAAATAACATTTTTATCATGGGAATTTGATTAATTATTATTTTATTATGATAATATGATCAAATATGTATATGTTTTCTTAATAATTTATTGAAAATATCAATTAGCTTATTTGATAAAGAGTTTTTATAGGACATATTCTCGTATCGCCCTTGTGGCCACGATCAGCGAACACATCTGCACGGACAAGGAGTCTCGAGGTTGAGATGGTGCGTCGCGTTGACGTGGTACCTCGGACTCGGGTGGGCGACTGCCCCTTCTCATGTCGTTTGAAGTCGTACGAGACAATAACATATAGTATAGAGCCACTTCGGAAAGCTTAGAACGATGCCGCATGATGCAGATCGATATGGGTCGATCGACGCTCACATGAAGGTATAAGCCAACCGCTTGAGGAGTTGGTTGCCATCATTAGATCGCGTATGACCAACCCTCATTCGTAGGTATAAAAACTAAGCCCCTGATCGACACTAAAGAAGAAGAAAATTTTTAAAACTCCACTAAATACTTACTTGACCGGATGGGTCGAGTCGGGAAAACCCTCTCTCAACTCGACCTGTGTGTAGGAACCCAACGACAATGAAGTGAACTACTTGTTGAGAAGGAGGAACACGTTCCAAGATGACTCTCAACCTCCACTTAACCCGATGGACATTTTAACCAATCGACTACTTGCTTCGATGCCTCTATGCATTTGAGACTAGACCGATCCATGTTGACACCTTGCCACAGCGTAAGGGTTCGCTAAAAAGTTTGATGTTTGTCTTTGTCAATCATCTTTAAAAATAAAAAATCTAAATATTAAAAATTTTGAGGACATAATTCAAATTTATTTATTTTTATTGATTTTTCTGGTTCCACAAATATTAAATAATTGTTAGTATAAAATATTTTAGGATTTTTTACTATAAATAAGAGAAAACGATTACACGATAAGAGTCGTCGGATTGGCAATCAACCCAATCTCTCTCACGCGACTCACCGAACCCGCGGACTCCACCAAATAAAGCACAAACGGAAGCGCGCGGTCTCGATCCACGCCGGCCGTTTCTTCGGGCTTCACACGTCCCGCGGACGAGGAGCGAAGCGAAGGCGATGGCCACGACGAAGCGCCGCCTCCTGCTACGGCTGATCTCGGTTTGCGCTTCCCTTGTGTGTCTAACCGTCGCGGTGACGACGGTGGCGGCGGCCCACGAGCTCCCGAGGGACGGCACCGTCATCGAGCTCGACGAGGGAAACTTCGACTCCGCGATCGCCTCCTTCGACCACATCCTAGTCGATTTCTACGCGCCGTGGTGCGGCCACTGCAAGCGGCTCGCCCCTGAGGTCAAGCACCCTTGCCAGGGTTATTCTGCCCCTTTCATCCCATGATGTTATTCGAGTTTAGTTGGGCAATGGATCCGAGATCCAAAGATCAGAAAACCCTCGTTACTCAAATCTCCCTTTTGGTTCAACTGTATGCACAATGGATTTGGCCCGGACATGTTCGGCTTGCGGCGATCTATGCAATAACCTAATGTGTGCGTTTGTTGAAATTGGCTACCCAGTGGACGATATGTTTAGTGAAATATTCGTGAGTTTTCTTCAATCTTTATGCACCTTGAAGATTAAGGTGTCCATCTGGTCACACACGCATGGTTTGAGTAACTGACCACGATGATGGTACTATTATTCTTCGCCCATTGTGACTGCCGGATTGGCTAAAAGAAGGAATGTTTGATCTTCTTGGTCACTATCTAGTTTGTCGATGTTTCAAATCATTATGTATGAATAAAGAGACACAACTAGAACCCTTTGGTGGCCTATATGACCAAACAGGAGAATTTGACAGTAAAGTTTTTTTATTTGTTATTATTGAGGAACAAGGGATGATGACAGAAGTAACATATCTGTTTCTCACCGTCTAAGTGTGCTTAGCCATCAGTTGAAGTGGATATCTGGATCTGTAATTGTCAAGCGATTTCTTTGATTTGGCTTTGATGGATTCATTGATTGGTTTAGTGAAGTGACAGAGAATGTGTGTGTGTGTGTGTGAGAGTGAGAGAGAGAGAGAGAGAGAGAAAGAGAGAGAGACTGAACCAAGGATTTTGTTCTTGTTAGTGAACCTTTACACCGTGGCTGAGGAGTCGTCATGGTTCGGTCTAGACCCGGATGCGCAAGATTGGCCGTGTCGATGCTCGGGCAGCGGAAGTCAGTGTTCGGTTGGGTCGAGCTCGAACCTCGCTTCCGGGGTGTGGGGGCTCCCCTTTGATCGGTCGCCTCCTTCCTTGTTGCCAACTCTTGCACACAGGTCGGGGTCGGGGGGGGAGGGGATTTCTCGACTTGACCTCTCTGAAGATTTTATTAGAACTTAGTGGAAAACGAGTCCAAAAAGGAAAAAAACTACCCATGATGTTGGCCCGACGATGGGTTTTTATACCCTGCGCCTTAGGACCAGCCGTACTTGACATATTCATGGTTGCCGACCCATCAAACGGTGAGCTTATTTCTCGTGCAGATATCGGGCGTCCTTCGTGCCACGGCGCCGAACAGCTGTGTCGTTCTCGATCGGCGTCGTCCCGATCTTTGCGGGGCGGCGTGGTACTCAGACGGCGCTGTCCTGATCTTTGCAGGGTGGCGCGGTACTCGGGCGGCGCCATCCCGATCTTTGCGGGGTGCGTTGTACTCGAGGGGCATGGTGCTTACGTGGTCTGCTATGCTGACCTTGATGCTGATGTGGCTGTGTGCGGTTGTTAGAGGGCAGGTTACCAAACTGTGCCCTATCAGTTCTCACTATCTGGTGGCCTAAGAAACGCGGAAGATAATTTATGTTGTTTCTAGTACTGCATTTCTGTAACTTTTTAATAATACCAAAGTGAACAATCGTTAGTTTCAAGTTATCTCGGTTTGGGATTTCTGGATATGACACAGATATTTGGATTACAAACGAGGAGATCATGCATTCTTCTACTTTGTTTTCTGTTCTTATAGTGATAAATTACTTTAATAGTGGAGATTGGTCCTGTCGCCTCGCCCTTATTTTTCTAGCATACATTCAGTTAATATGTGTGTCCACAGATATAGGTATGTAATATATAGTGTCAAAGTACACTGCAGAAGTAATAAATTCACTTAATCTACATGATACTAAGTATAATAATCAGTTGTTAGGAAACAAAGTTCTTCATATTACTAATTTATATTCATAAAAGGTATAATATATTTGTTGTAAGTGCATTTGTCACTATTCTGGTCCTTGGTAACAAACAATTGCCTTATGGAACTGTCTGAAGTGGCATTAATGATGTCTTTGCTGTAATTTTGCAGTTGGATACAGCTGCTCCGGTGCTAGCTCAGCTGAGTGAACCCATTATGATTGCTAAGGTTAATGCTGACAAGTACAGAAAGCTTGCTTCCAAATATGAAATTGAGTAAGTATTCTTCTGCCTATCACCTTTGAGTTTTTGAAGAACAATCCTGTTAGCTCCAACAATAACCCTACTATAGTGTATAAGGTTGTATTATTGGACCTATTAGTACAATTGTGATTCCAAGTAAGATGCTAAGCTTTAGATAGTGAGATAAGCTTCTGGATATTTTTGTGAGTTGTGATTCATTCACCTATCACACGATGCATAATATAAGTCATTTGGTTTTGACATTGAATCTAGTTTTTGCCATCATGTTAAATGCAGTGGGTTTCCAACAATGAAGCTTTTTATGCATGGAGTCCCTGTGGACTACACTGGTCCAAGGAAAGCTGAGTTGCTTGTTCGTTTTCTAAAGAAGTTTGTTTCTCCTGATGTTTCACTACTGGAGACTGATTCTGTGATCCAGAACTTTGTTGAAATGGTTGGCACTGACTTCCCTGTGTTCATTGGCTTTGGCTTGGATGAATCTGTTATTCTTGATGTCGCTCGTAAGTACAAGAAAAAAGCCTGGTTTTCTGTAGCAAAAGATTTTTCAGAAGAGATGATGGTGGCATATGACTTTGACAAAGTTCCAGCATTGGTATCTCTTCATCCGAAATATAAGGAACAAAGCGTGTTCTATGGGCCTTTTGAAGGTGAGTTCAGATAAGTATTTTGTACATTTTGTGTATGACATTTCTTCATATTTCCTACAGAAGCGACCATTGCATTTAAATCTAATCCTATAAAAAATAAATGAATAGCAGAGAAGCAATGCATGACTACCTAACATAACTGCCTCACTTGCTGCCTAGATAATTTAGTGTTCATGGTTGAGAGATCCCATTGTAGTCACAGATTAAGTACTCTTGTATTATTATCTTATTTTTGAATGTATTAGCTACTACTAATTCTTAAAATTCTTCATGCAAAAGGAAAGATCATTTAGTTTTTATCTGTCTGCTGGTTTCTGGTTCTTCTGTTTCGAATTTTCAATTCATTAAGTCTTGATATTAATGCAGCTAATTTAATTTTCTTCTTCTTGGCATCGTTTTCCATTAATTCATAGGTGACACATCATCCTTAAAAGATTGTATTTGAGTTTTATAAGTTATTTTCACAGGGGATTTCTTGGAAGATTTTATAAGCCAAAACCAGTTGCCTCCTACGGTCCCCATTAGATTTGAAACATTAAAGCTGATGAATGATGACAAGAGGAAAATTGTTCTTACTATCATGGAGGATGAGTTAGATGAGAAATCACTCAAATTGGTTAAAATTTTGAGGTCTGCTGCAACTGCAAATCGGGACTTGATATTTGGGTATGTTGGGGTCAAGCAATGGGGAGATTTTGTTGATGCATTTGATATCACTAAGAGCTCAAAGCTACCAAAACTTCTTGTTTGGGATGGAAATGAGGAATACCATACAGTAAGTCCACGTTTACATATATCAAAGTTCATTTTCTGATGACCAATTTGATAAAATTTTGAGTTAAGGTTATATGCCTATAAATGATTCTCTATGTTTTGATTGGCTTTGGTTAAATTTTAGTTATGTTTTAACAAAACAATTGGATTAGTTAGTTATCTTCTTTCTTGCTGCAGTTGCCTCTTATCTGAATTTCCTTTAAGAAGCACTGTACATAATTACATTGTATAAATGTGTTTGGTTGCTTTATACTTCATCAAATTGATGACTGAAGAAATGAGCTATCCTTTTAAGTTCTCTCTTATACTATGAAAGTAATCTGTTCATAAGCTGCTTATATATTATGAGCCAACATGCAGTGGTAGTGATATTAGAGCCTTCTGTATTCTGAACAGAGCTAATCTGTCTCTACACAGAAGAATATTTAAGCACCCATTTAATTTGTCTTGATATACTTTTTAGTGGTTTCAAGTTTCATCACACGTGTTGTTTTTTTATTGATTAGTTAAATGCTGTTCAAACATTACAATAATTAAAGATATTGCTAACAAAATATTATATATGGCTTCGGCATGGTAGATTAAGGCATAGGTCCGCCAATAAACTGCAAACTTGGATCTTTTGCTCCTATTTGCCTTAATACATATCATAATGCTAAGTTCATGCATCAGGGGAGCAGACATTGGTGTAACATTAGCTTAGCTTCTCCAGTTCTATTTGTGCTAACACAAATCAAAAGTATGCACGTCAGGAGGAGAGCATGCTTTGGCATATCAATATATTTTGGATCTGGGTTTGTTCTTTAAACATATTTTGGTTCAAAGCCTTCTCCATTTTCTTTCAATTTCAGGGTTCTTTATTTCTCTTGCCTTGCCTTGTTTAACCTAAATTTCTGGTTAACATATCGCTCAGAAGCAGTTAAAGTTCCAGTCTCATGTGTTGTTCTGACAGGAATCTTTTTTCCTTTTGTGAATGAAGGTTGTAGATTTAGAAGACCTAGATGATAATGATCAAGGAACCCAGATTAGTCGTTTTCTTGAAGGATATAGAGAGGGAAGAACCATAAAAAGGAAACTGAGCAGCCCTTCACCATTTGGCTTTATTAGCTCATTAACCGGCATAAGAACAGTCTACCTCATTGTCTTTGTGGTTGCTGTTGTAATGGTTATTGTGCTCCTATGCACTCGAAGCGCAGATACTCCTCCAGTTTCTCAAGATGGAGCCGAAGTCGCAGAAGCTAGCGTTTCACAGGCTAAAAGCAGCAGTAGTTATCAGCCAGGGGACAAGGAAGACTGAGATGTGACACTCTCAGATTGTATTGCTGCAGTTTTGTTTAGGTTAACTAAACTTTTGGTAATTAATATTACTTCAATCCAAGCATCCCATGTAAGAAATTCATCTTAGAAATTCCTAGTTGGTTGCATAATTTATTTAACTATTGGAACCAGGAATAAATCGTTTTTATCTTAAGTATTCATATTCTTTACTTTCTTGAAGAATATATCGAGCTCGTTTCGTCCGCATTATTTAGCCTATATGTTTTGCTTAATATATAGTCCAAGTATATTTTTTGTTCTTGTGGTTTTCCATTTAGGTCACCTCCACTTGTGTTTGTCCAAATTTTAGTTAATCACAATTAACTGTGGTTATTAGTAACTAATATGAGTTTAGATATATAAAAAAAAGTTCACTCTAATCATTCTCATTGATTACTTATCGTAATAGATCTGTCTATACTCTCTCTTTTTCTTATATCAGGTTATGTTTTCTTTTCTCTCTCTTTTATTGCACATAAATAATATCCTTTCTTCTTCTTTTTTTCTTTCCATTTATCATAATAGGTTTTGTTTCTTTCTTTTTTTTTCCTTCTATTTATATGGGAGAAAAATAAATATTATGTCATATGTTGAAAGAAGGGTGATGACATGAAGGTGACATAGTTATATCACAAAAGAAGATTTGGGGTCTACAGTGTTTAAATCCACTTGCTTTGATGGGTAACGTCATATCGTAATGATGTTTCGAAGTTGATTCGATATGGTACGATAACGACGTACCGAGCGGTACACCTGGATGTACCGAACGATACACCAGGATTTACCGAGCAATTTTCTCTTATTGCAACACTGTTATAATGTAACATTGTAGCACTATAGTATTGTTCCAGCATATTACTGTAGCACGGTCGGTCTAGTAGTGGACGGTCCGCGTACTGATATGCCGTCAAACCGGTATATATCGCTCGTAGTACCATTCGAAATTGTATACTATGATGCTAATCATGATTAGTAAATACTAATCACAATGGCATATATGTATGTAAGTCTTTTTTATTATATGATGACATTAGATAACTAAACTAAAATTTAGATGGATAAATGCACGAATCACCAACCTTGAAGGGATATAATTTATACATATGTAAGGATATTAAGAATCTTCTATAAGAGACTATCTCCAAATGCTATTATCATATGTCATCACAATCCACACATGAACTCTTCATATCTCCTTTTCCGTTTTCTTCCTAGTCTTTGAACCGGGAACGCCATTTCCCCACGTGCTTCTTTACCGGCTACAACCGGTCACCTCTCAAACACGAAAGAAGTGGGTGACGGAGAGAGGCGACCATTTCGCCGCTCTCTTCCCCTCCTCGCTCGCTCTCTGCGTGTCCTCTCCTCTTCCCATCTGTCTCCTCCTGCAGACGACTCCTTCCCTCCTCCAATGCTCTCTCTTCCCCCCCTCCTCCTCCTCCTCCTCCTCCTCTTCCCCCTCCTCCACTGCACTCCCATCGATCTCCATCGCCCGCTCCTCATTCCTGCTGCCGTATTGCAGGTCTCCGAGGTTCGTTCTCCCTCTCACTCCTCACGATTTCTGCCATCAATTTCATCGATTTATCTCGCATTTTATTCTCCTCCTCGACGTAGATTCGTTTGCGCTTTCGAGGTTCACATTGATTTTGATTTCGTGATCCATTTCGAAGATGACGGATCTGTTCGTCTTTGTCATGAATCTGAAATCCCTAGTTTGCGGCCTGTTTATGAAGAAATGTGGCTCCTTTTTGGGTATTTTGCTAAAAACTGTGATTTTTCTGCTCTTCTGTATCTTGACGTGATGCAGATCGTTGAGGTTGAGTTCGAGAATGGTTGGAGGAATGGACCTGCGGAAGGTGGACTCGCTCTCTTCTATTGCGGAGGCCGAGGATCTCGATTTCTCGCGGCTGCTCGACAGGCCGAGACTAAAGATCGAGCGGAAGAGGTCGTTCGACGAGCGATCAGTTAGCGAGCTCACCGTCTCGGGGAACCTCCGGCAGGTTGACAGCTACGATAGTATGTGCTCCCTCGGCACGATGAGGTCGGTGCTGGACACTCCGGTCTCGTCGGATCCAAACCCGTTCGATCCGCATCCGATGGTTGCGGAGGCGTGGGAAGCTCTCCGGAGGACGATAGTGTTCTTCCGGGGGCAGCCGGTGGGCACGATAGCCGCCTACGATCACGCCTCAGAAGAGGTTCTCAATTACGATCAGGTATATCATCCTCCATTATTCGTATCTCAGTTTCACCGATACATACTGATTGATAGGCAAATGGGTCATCGGAGATAACATCTTGCCTGTTGCTGTCTTGAGTACATTTGAGGACAGCGTTGGTGTGCAGTAAGAATTGTCAATTTCATGTATTTGTATTACAATCAACGAGAATGTCAATTATTATATAAATTCACGTCAAGTCGTTTACTTGCTGGTGCTCAGATAACCAAATTGCAATCAGATAGTTTATTTGATCTTGATTTCACTTTGCACGCAGGTGTTTGTCCGTGACTTCTTTCCAAGTGCTCTGGCTTTTCTAATGAATGGAGAGCCTGAGATAGTGAAAAATTTCCTCATGAAAACCCTCTACCTTCAAGGGTGGGAAAAGAGAATAGATCGTTTCAAGCTTGGGGAAGGAGTCATGCCGGCAAGTTTCAAGGTGAAGCATGATCCTACTAGGAAAACTGACAATCTAATAGCTGACTTTGGTGAGAGTGCAATCGGAAGGGTTGCACCTGTTGATTCTGGTTTTTGGTGGATTATTCTACTTCGGGCCTACACAAAGTCTACTGGGGATTTAGCTCTGGCAGATTCAGCAGAGTGTCAGAAAGGGATGAGGCTTATACTAGCTTTATGTTTGTCGGAAGGGTTCGATACATTCCCAACCTTGCTCTGCACAGATGGATGCTCGATGATAGATCGTAGGATGGTAAGTTCATCAACATTGTGTTGAGGTACTCGTTAATTATGGTGCTTATACTTACTCAGGGTTATCCTTGATTTTTTTTCACTTGGTTGTGTTTCTTGAATTAGAAGCATATTTTGTTTCGTTCTTCTATCTCTTCAGATTAAGTTTTATATTATGTGGAAAGAAAAGTAATCAGAGACATATCTCTGATAAATTTCTGAACTGATTAATGTGCCCAAAGCTTTAATTGCATATTCCTTTTCCCATTGTCCAAATGAACAATTTTTGTTTTTGTTTTTCCGTTAATTATAATATATTTTCTAAGTCAGTGTACGTGCAGCGATTTAGAATACTCAATAAACTTTCTTCTTCGTCAGATACATCCAATTTCACACACTCAATCTCTGACTATATCTTTCAAAAAAACACACTGCTTTAAGTTGGGTTTCTTAAGAAGAACACATATTCTTAAAAATAATTTTTGTTTAACTGAAAATCTTTGCACAACTTTCTCAAAATCTTTCAAGGTCATTTAATGATCTTTGTTCCTTGAGGCATTTGATTGACAATCTATTTATCATTTAAGTTGAAACCTCTGGGCCTTTTACTGTCCTCCATCATTCTAAAACTGATATTTGATTTATTATAAAACTGGTCATATCCTAGAGTAGATAACTTGGACGGTGCATCTATATTCATTTATCTGCTGTAGTGCATTAACAATAACTTGCTTGAACACTAGAGAAATTTGATTCTGGAGTAGGTTTGTAAACGGCAGTTAAGAGATAAAACGATGCATGTTTTAATTGCTTTAGACGTTGTTTACTTTGTTTATGGAAATATGAGTTAATGTTGTATCCACTGTTATGTGCTTCTGAGGAACGAACAAACTTTGCAGGGTATCTACGGGTATCCTATGGAAATTCAAGCCCTTTTCTTTATGGCATTGAGATGTGCTTTGACGATGCTAAAACAAGATACAGAAGGGAAGGAGTTCATAGATAGGATAGTGAAACGCTTGCATGCCTTAAGCTATCACATCCGAAATTACTTCTGGCTTGACTTCCAGAAGCTAAATGTCATATATCGCTACAAGACAGAGGAGTATTCTCACACAGCAGTTAATAAGTTCAATGTTATTCCAGATTCCATCCCAGACTGGATATTTGATTTCATGCCTACTGGTGGTGGATATTTCATCGGAAATGTTAGTCCTGCGAGAATGGACTTCCGATGGTTTTCTCTTGGTAACTGCATTGCGATACTATCTTCTCTTGCTACCCCAGAGCAATCTGCGGCTATAATGGATCTGCTTGAAGCACGCTGGGAGGAACTGGTTGGTGAAATGCCCCTAAAGGTTGCATATCCTGCTCTAGAGAGCCATGAATGGCGTATTGTCACTGGTTGTGACCCCAAAAACACCAGATGGAGTTACCATAATGGAGGAACATGGCCTGGTTAGTGCTTTTGAGCTTGCTGAATTTTCTCATTGAATTGCATATTATGATGCCATTATATTAATTCAAAATCTAACTGGACAAAACTGATGGAAGAAATGTAGGTTTTTTGCCTTGGTAAATTGATGAGATGATCCTTTATCTCAATATACCATGTCCTAACTAAGGCTGGAGTCGATAATAACATTCAATAACAGATTATATTTCATATGATGTGTTCTCCTTAACAGAAGTTACAATCTTTTCCTTGAAACATACAAGCAAGTTTTATATTGATAATCACTATACCGATCATGATGCACTTTCCTCTGTTAAATTACACTTAGAATTATGTCGAACATCCTTTCTAGCATCGATACTTTGACTGTCATGTGCCAACCTCAGTTCCATGTTTTACTTCATCCTTTCACTTGTATTACTTCAGATTGTTCCAGCACTACCTTATACATCAAATTCCATTGTCTTCTTCAGTGACTCTGTGGCTGCTCACTGCGGCCTGTATAAAGACTGGTCGTCCGCAGATTGCAAGACGAGCGATCGATCTTGCTGAAAACAGGCTGTCCAAAGACAGTTGGCCAGAATATTATGACGGTAAGCTAGGACGGTACATTGGCAAGCAGGCAAGGAAGTTCCAGACATGGTCTATCGCAGGTTATTTAGTCGCTAAAATGATGCTCGAAGACCCTTCACATCTTGGTATGATCTCTCTCGAGGAGGACAAAGCGATGCTGAGGCCTCCAATAAAGAGATCAGCTTCATGGACTATTTGAAGGTGGAAAGCAGGCAAGGAAGTTCCGGACATGGTCTATCACAGTTTATTTAGTCGCTAAAATGATGCTCGAAGACCCTTCGCATCTTGTTATGATCTCTCTGGAGGAGGACAAAGCGATGCTGAGGTCTCCAATAAAGAGATCAGCTTCATGGACTATTTGAAGGTGGCAGCCGAAGAGACCTTATTCCCTTACACCATTCTTTGACAGTAATTCTTTGATCTTCTATTCTTTCTTTCTCAGTAGCAATTGTTTGTACAATATTATGATAACATATCACCAGTTTTAGTGCATTACAAATAAGGTTAGCTCTGTATTATTTTGTTCTCATGGTAGCAACAGATTCAGTTTTACATGATCTTGATCTAATTTAGTCTTTGATTCCTTCTCCATCACCTCTTGCATGTCGAAAGACATGCTGCATGTGACGTACAAAAGCAATTGTAATGCAAGTACATGATTTAAAGAAGCAAGTTGCACATTCAAGTGTTGGATTATATATAACATCGACAACTTTAGTAGCTTTTGGATTGTATAGGTGTTCTATTGCTATATATATATATATATGTATGTATATATGTATATATATGTATATATGTATATGTATATATATATATATATATATATATATATATATATATATATATATATATATATATATATATATGTATATATAACATGGACAACTTTAGTAGCTTTTGGATTGTATAGGTGTTCTATTGCTATATGTATTCATATATATATATATATGTACACATATACATATATATATGTACACATATACATATATATATGTACACATATACATATATATACACATATATATATGTATATGTACATATATAACATGGACAACTTCAGTAGCTTTTGGATTGTATAGGTGTTCTATTGCTATATGTATACATATACATATATGTACACATATACATATACACACACACACACACACACACACACACACACACACATATATATATATATATATATATATATGATCCTGATCATAATTAAAGCTTATGGAAAAAACAGAACCTACAATCATATTGTAGGAATTAGAGAGATCATCCTTGTGGTTCTTCAAACACAAATCTAATCATAATTAGGAGCACTGGGAGGGAAAGAAGTTTGTTTAAATATGTTGGTGTTTCTAACAAGCAGATCATGTTGATAACTAAACTAAATATTTTTCATGTTTTGATGGTTCTTGCATGATCTTTTAGTGCCTTGTATAAAGAAATTATATGTCACATAGATAAGTTCATGACCTGAACTGAATAATGTTGACAAGTAGAAGATCATTTTGGCAAGTCTATGTAGGTCGATGTGATGTTAAGAACAGTGAGATGCTTGATAGAGTTCCATTACTCTTTCTTTCCTAATCACATCAAGCATTATGTTTTATATATACATACATGTACATTTCTTGGTATGGTCTTCTTGTTTCTGCTGCAAGTCGCCTTAAACCAAGATCACAGACCATCGGTGAAGGGAACTCCGGTGGCCGGCAACCAGCTACCTCCAGATAGCAAACCCCTCACAGTAAATCTCAGAGCAGTCGATGGATCGGTGATAACATGGTGGCCGCGCCACCTGACTCGCCTGGAAGTGTCAGACCCCGGCCCTGTGTTCTTATACTCCCCGTAGTATAACGTGTTGAGAGCGAACCCACCGCTCCATTCCAACCACCCAGCTGCGGAGATCAGATCATCCATGTACGTACCCATGAACACAGTCCCAGGTACGTCCGGAACTTCCCCTGAACCGGCCTCAGGTCCGGCGCGGCCGTCACCCTGCAGTGCTGGATGACGATGCCGGTGTTCTGGCTGGGATCGGTCCGCCCCTGCGCGGTTATCGTGTTCTGCTGCTTGCTCATGGGCCGCCTCACGTAGATGTTGCAGTCCTGGAGCACCGCGGCGGCGTTGCCGAAGATGAAGTCGACGGTGCCGTGGACGTCGCACTCGCGGTAGAATTGCCGGAGCGAGTGGGCGTAGAGCGTGTCCTGGTACCCCTCGAAGCTGCACCGGTAGAAGACGGCGAGGTCCGCGTTGCAGCGGAGCGCCACCGCCTGGCGCTTCGCGGGGCCGGCCGTGTTGCGGAATGTTATCCCCCGAGCGATGAATCCGTCCCCCGTCACCGCTGCACGCCACCACACATCACCGATACGCACAAAGATCAATCTTTCCCATGAGAGAGAGAGAGAGAGAGAGAGAGAGAGAGAGAGCAGGAAGAGTTCATGACACTGTACTCACCCACGGTGGCGGAATTGAAGGTGGTGGAACCTCCAGCAACACTCCGACTACCAGTGACCACTGTCTTGCCGATGCCATCCCCAACCAACATGAGGTCTCTCACCCCCACCTGCACGTTCTCCACGTAAACCCCTTCCTTCACATGGATCACAAATCTTCTGCTCCCCCTCCCTCTCCTCCTCGACGCCTCGTTGATAGCTTCCTTGATGCTCCCAAAGTCCCCACTGCCGTCCTTCGCCACCACCAAATCGGCCACCACGTCCCCCCGGCGCGCGGCTCCCTCGAGGCCGCCCAGAAGGATCTGTTCCCGCGCGAGAATGGCGTGCTCCATGGCCGCGTGTATCGACATCTGCTGCATGCTTTGGCTCACGTAGTGTGTGCATGTGTCGGAGTACGGAGCGAGAGAGCACCAAATAAGAGGTAGTAAACAAGCACAGTAGGAGTAGCACGGTGGAGAGCTTCACCATTATGGAGTACGTGTGTCAAAGGTAGAGAGAGTTCTTCTCTATATATGGCTTGTGATGACCATGGAAGGAGGTGGCTTCGATTGCTTTTGCCAAGACGCAAGGGTTGATTGCTGCAACCTCAGGTCGAATTGCTTGTGTACAAGATATGCCCTTGTGGTGTTTATCGGTCTTTAACAAGTCAAAATGCTCATTAAATGAAGACATTTCACCTCATATTAAAAATTGGGAGATATACACCAAAAATGTAATGCTTGAAAAAGGCAAGATGTACATTTTATATTGAGATATGTAAATCATCAAGTAAAGCAAGCAAGTCTGAGGAGCTACTCATCCTACATTGATGACAAATTAGGAGATAAAACTGTGGTCCTCTGTGGCTATAATAATAAATACAAGATTTTATCTCGGGAAGGAGTGGCAGCACTAAAGAGTAGACGTGCACGCAGGCAGGTGTGTGTGTGGATATAGAATGCCACATATACTGCATTAAATAAGTAGTTCATTGAATTACCTTTCCCCCTTTTTGTGACCATGTTTATGTAGCAGCAAATTGTCTTCAAGTCCATTGGCAGAAATGACTGCCTGTGGAGGAGAATTTTCATGTACTTTAGTGGGAAATGTCATGTAAGTGCAATGAATAATCCATATACATTAGCATTGAGCAGAGACTAAAGACAACATATATTTTCCTCATCAAGAGCAAACCGAATCAAATACCATGAGACCACAAACTAGTATGCATGCAGGAACTTCAACCACCTAACTTGAAGAAAGCCAAGTAAAAAAGTCAGGTTTCAACTTCAAAACAGCAACCACATGTCGGTACCGATGTAAGAATCATGTATGCCAAACAAAAAAACCTATGTGTATCACTTGTTTAGAACATAAGCATCTTGAATGCAGGAAACAGAAACAACTTGGGTGCAGGATTAGACAGTAAAAATGCTAAAGCATGAGTTCGACCGAACCCTGGGCGACAAACTGTATTATGGAACCAATACTAATAGCTCTATGGATGCCAACTTCTGTCATGACAAATGTGATTTTAGTAATGATTACAGGACACTACCCAACTGCTGTTCTTATGATAACCTTCTGTGGTCATATAAGCAAAACAAAGCAACTGATGCTTGTCAACTACAAATGTAAAAAATATTTTATTTTCATGAAGACTCGGTGTAACCAATGAAAGCTGCTTCTCACAACATATGCAGGGAATTTGAAATATTTCTTTACATGTAATTTTAACAATCTAAGACTGTCTTGACAGTTAGTTCTTTGTCTTTTTAACCACAACAACACTAGCTGGTCCAAATGTATTAGATATGATTATTTGTAGAAAAGAAATTGTACATCTTGTCCTGCAAGTATTTGCCCGTAACAGAGTTAAATGGTTACAACACGTCCGTAAAGCCAACCTCATTGATACATTACAGTTTCATGTTGTTGCGATTAAAAAGTTATCAGATTCCTAAAACAAAAAAAAATCACAAAATGGATTCCGTATATAAAGACATTGGCGTGACAGATATAAATAGACGATGTGAAATCCACAAAATAGATGATAGGTTACACAGTCAACGGCTCAATAAATGGCTCCATCGTAGTACCGAAAGATTAAAAAAAGATTTCACACTCAAATGAACAGATTGGAATTTCCAAATGATTCCAGGAGAAAGTGAGAAAGTTTCCTTTGGGCATATAAAGTACTGACAAAACTGGAGTTGATGAATGATCTATTACCAAAAAAATCAAATTAACAATTCTTCTCCAACAAAATAATATCTTAACAAAATTCGATGCCCAATACCAGTAGCCTGTGCAAAGTAATGGAAATCCTTTTTTTACATTCATTCAGGCAAGATAGTACAAAATGAAATACCAAATAATTTTTTAATTAGAATACCTGGCTTACACAAAGTAGTCGTACAAAGTTGGGAGCAGGTTTACAAGACAATGAAAACTTACCAATTCTATGACCCAGCCATAGAAAATGTTCTGTTCTATCATGGAGTCACATTATCCATTTTTCATGACGTATTATTTGTCAATAAGCAATTATAATTACACAAGCATTTTAATAGTTGAACACAAAATTGATACTTTTACACCAAGTAAGAATATTTAACATATTGACTGTGAAAGCAACAACTGCAAAAAAAAAAAAAAGAAGAAGCACCAACAAATAAATTATGATCAATGTTTTGATAACTCTGAATGAATAGCAAGTCCTAGAACCAGAGAACTGGATGTTCAAAAGATAAAATAGAAACTTTCATCTGTAAGTCTCCTCCAAGATGGGTTGATGCCATACATCAAATGACAATATTGCTAGCAGCTTGGCTTCCTAATTGGAACACATTACCTTCGGGTTAAGAACAGCTCACAGAATAATAATAACTACTACTTGCCTTACCAACATTCAACAACCACAATATGCAACATCAAGGCAAATCTGTGTACTTGAACCATGACAACCAACAAACCTTCACAGTAGTTCAGGGTGTCTTTAGGTCAGCCAGGTTACCTTGACAAATATGGTTCACAGCAATGGTACTGACTCTTTTTCCTTTTCTTTGATCATGGAGATCCTTTTTAGATTCTCATTGCCAAGCAATATACAGAACTGCCTGATGGTCTCCCTTGTCTAACCACTCCATTCTCATGGGACCATATGTGAGACTTCCACATCATACAGCTTTGTCCTGAACACCTTCCTGCTTGATCTTCACTCAAGTAGGACTGCTATTTGTCTGATTGGTTCAGAATCTAAATTTAGAAATATTATTTGAAAAACCCAAATTTGTTAATAAACTCATTTCATCAGCCTCAGCATCCTCAAAATTAAGCCAAGAAAAACATGCAGCATTTTTGCACAGTTGACTAGTCAGATGCCTACAATCTTTCTTGACACAACTGACATAGATGAAAACATCTGAGATAAACACACCTTCCCTAATCCATGAAATGAAGCAGGCTACTGCTTTCAAGGGCAGGTTTAACCATGCTTGAAAGTCAAAAAAGATGGAGGCTACTACAGGTTTGACCAACTTGGCATGTTCATGTGCCTTGGTGCCACCACTGAAAGTAGAATGTCTGCTACAAACGAAATTTTGAAATTAAATAGATGAAACATATGCTGATTAGTATCATAAGCTCTAAAAAGACTTAGCCACGGGCCTTTATATGTGTATGTGTGTGTGTGTGTATATATATATATATATATATATATATATATATATATATATATACTACTACTACTACTACTACTACTACTACTACTTCTAAAGCCACCATTCAGTGACTCCCTAAAAGACAAGTAGAGTTCAAGTGACATATAGGGAGGCTACAAAATAATGACTTGAGAACACTTGCTCAAACATTTGGTAGGCGTTTCCTTTGAACAAATTAAATCGATTTAAATATGAATAAAGAACTAGGATTTCCCAGGGAGAAAAAGCACAACGCAGTCGCGAAATCAAATATCGATAGCGCATTAAAAACAATAAAATGCCTAGATTAAACCACAAGAAAACAGGAAAAAAGAATAAAATAATCCATCACGAGGAATCTCGAAGTCAATCCGAAGAAGTTTCCAGCTTTTCTTAGATCATAGGCAGAAACTTTTCGATTGATCTACAACAGAGTAGAAACTTCATTTAGGACAGAAGAGGAGAGACACCGAAATCAGATCAAAACAAAAACCTAGGTTTTCCAGGCAACGAACACAAGATCCGATCTCGATGGCAGGCAAGATATTGGCCTGCAGAGACGACTTCTTGGTCCATCACTACGCTGGAGAGACGGGGAGAGGGGGAAGGAGGACGCATGGCTCGAGCAACGGATCGCGGAGCTCGGATTGAAAACTACCGAAGGCATCACGGATGAATGAGTGAACATTAGATCAGAGTTCGCTTGGAGTACGGTTTTGCTCTCCTCACGGATCCATCCGCCGCTTCGAGAGCCGCCCCTCCCCACCCTAAACCCTATCTCTTCTACCGTTCGACGGACGGTGGGTCGCATCAAATTTAAGCTGTGGTTGACGGGAAAGAGGCAACCTAAACCTTCATATATATACATATATATATATATATATATATATACGTATATGTATATGTACATATATATGTGCATATATATATATATATATATATATATATATATATATATATATATATATA